GTTATAACATTGATATGATGACGATGATGTGCTTAATCAAGTTTCATTATTTGATATATATTTTAGGTGTACNAACCTCTTGCAGCCCTCGAGGCCATTCATCAAGAAAGGTAATAATTTATCATGGATGAACTATACATATCAGCTAATTGGAATCATTGATATGATCAATCTGCGTGTTCTATTATCATTATAACAATGATATGATGACGGTGATGTGCTTAATCAAGTTTCACTATTTGATATATATTTTAGGTGTACAACAGTGTATGGCACACCAACAATGTATATTGATATGTTGAATCATCCCAAATATTCCGAATTCGATTATTCTTCCATTTTCTCAGGTTTGTTTTCATTTGATCGATGCCTTATCTATTCAGCCTATCGCTTCGTTTTGTTAGAATGAATATCACTGTTATGTTGAATAATTTCAGGTTTCGTCGCTGGTGCTCCTTGTCCGATTGCATTGTGTCGACGATTAGTGAAAGAACTGGGAATGCGTGATTTACAGGTAATATTGCTTGGTTCCATATCCATTTTGAAGTTATACTTTACTTCACTTCGATTCCTCATTCGAATTGGTAAATTGTGTTCGTCAATGGTGTTGAGGTGACTTGCTAGTTGAGGGTGTACTCACAACCAGTAACTGTGATTTAAGTAACACAACTGGAATTCAGTTTTTGTTTTAGTTAGCCTATAAATTTATGTGATATATAAATTCGTTTCACATTCCCAACAGGGCGATTTGTAATGGGATAATATTGCTTAAATGATGAAATGAAATAACTGGTTTTTGAAAACATTAATTGACTGATAACAATAGTCAATTTCAGGTTTGTTACGGTACCACGGAAACAAGTCCCGTATCCTACATGTCAATCAGAGATGACTCACCCGAAGATCGCATCAAATCAGTTGGACACATTATGGACCATCTCGAGGTTGGTATATCTTCATATTTGCAAAAACTTTATTCATAGGTCTTGTTATATTCATAGATCTTGTTCACACATCCACTCAATACTCCTATACATCGTCTTACAATGT